AAAGAAAGATGAAATCATGAAATTTGCAGGTATATGGATGGAACTAGAAACTGTAATACTAAATGAAGTAACACAGACTCAGAAAAAAAAATCAACATATGTTCTCCCTCATATGTGGATCCTAGAACCAAATCCTGATAAGTGAGTATGTATCCAGACATAACTACAGGAACCAGGATAATGGAAAGGAACCCGTGAGGTGAAGGAAAAGAAAGAAACTGAAAGAGAAGAACAGTAGGAAACAGGCCTTAATAAGGGAGATAGAGACAAAAATTGGGTTAGTTTAAGGGAGTGGGGATTTAATTGGGGAGGAAGGGTTATACAAGTAACTTAGGGAATAAAGGGAAAGAAGGAGCTCAAGAGAGGTAGGACCATAGGAGAAAGGTATTATTATGGGAGAAAGGGGGGAAATGGGGGCACCTTAAGTGGGAAAACCATGATGGAGGGGTGAGACAATGCCAGAGATGAATAATGCTTAGCTAATTTTCAGAACCAGAGAGAACCACGTTATTCCAACAACTTATTGACAAATTATACATAGCAGATCAAGAAATATATATCTAGGTAAGGTTTATCTGAGAACAATTGGTCTTTGCCCAAGATTTATCTACATGACACACAGTAATTAAAAGTACCAGACTGACTTGCAGGGTGTGGTGGCACATGCCTTTAATCCCAGCACTTGGGAAGCAGAGGCCTGCAGATCTCTGTGAGTTCAAGGCCAGCCTGGTCTACATAATGAGTTCCAGGCCAGCTGGGGCTACAGGGAGACCCTGTCTCAAAAAGACCAAAAAAAAAGTGTACCAGACTGGTAGACTGGTGGAAGTAACCTTCTTGGATGTTGAACAGACATACTTTGAGGCCTATAATAATTTGATCAGAGGGACATAAAGGACAGTTTTGCTCCTTGCCCTCCTAGGTCGACTAGTTCCAGGGTCTATGAGTATCTCTCAAAATGTCCTGTAATTGTGGTGGGTCACCTGTCCTCTTGATCAAGGAGGCCGAGGAGACCCCACTAGATGGACTTGAACCAGTGTCCAGTCTATAAAGAGGAGGGTCAACACAGAGGAATCATTTCTTCCATGCTTCCTAGCGAAGCCAACCATGGTCAAGTAGGATCTTTGACTTACCTTCACATAGATGGAACTGGTAAAAGAAAGGAGCCAGGGGCTTCTCCCAAGCCCATGTGACCCCTGAGGAACAGATCCTCAAACCACCTTAAGAGTAAAAATAAATAGGTTTATCTGGACCAACTGTATGGCCTTAAACACCCAAAAGGAATGTATAACCAAAGATTAAAGGGGCCAATATAATTTCTTAAGTGTACATATGCATAGCTAAAGGCTACATAACAAGCAACAATGCCAGTTAGGAGATACCTTCATTTGAGTTGTTGGCCAGGGTGGCCCAAGGGACTCCCGGATAATAACCCAGCATAGAACTGGGAAAATAAACAGCAGACCCCAATCTTATCTAAAGGAATATTGACAACTGATTACTGCTAGATGAGAAAGATCTGACTTTCCTAAAAAAAAGACCTCTAGTTAGGCTGACTAGATTCACCAGTTGGGCAAGTAGTGGGGAATGGCTGGGGTGCTGACAGCACAGCAAACAGAAGCAAGGATATCAGAGTATAAGGGCTCTAGTGGGGGGAGGGAGGCTATGGGAGGGTGCCATCTGGGAAGTGGGTGTATAGTTGAACAAGATGGTTCGGGATGTTCTGTGTGATACACACACACACACACACACACACACAAATAAAAAAATTAAATGTGTTATATTTGATGAGGAAGCATGGAAATTTACATCATGTTAATTAGTAGAGGTGATAAATATTTCCATTGAAATCTACCTGATGACTTCATAGACATACACAGGCTCCAAGGATCCAAGTGCTACCGATCATGAGTAGTTATAGATACATACAGATTAGAGATGCATGCGCCAACATCTCAGTGTTAGTAGCAAAAAATGAGTCTTTCTGCAAGGAACAATATATTCTAAAATGAAATGGAGATCTTTTTTTACGGGTTAAAATCTCATTAAATTTTATTTCTTACAGGGTTTATACTGAGTTCAATATTGTATGACTCTATTAATTCAACCGTGAACATAGAAACTTACAGCCACTGTGAAAAAGATGTATTCTTGCTCTGGGGTTTGTTACTGAATATGTTAAAGCTGCAATGAAATGCTTCTTCTAATCATGCAGTTATTAAAAATTTAAAAAAAGAAAAATAATTAAAAATAAATAAATAAAATAAAAATTTTAAATTTTGAAAATACTTAGAATTTTGTGGATAGGAATAACGTATCCTTAAGATAAATTACAAGCACATACACAGCAATAGCACAGTGTTATTGTGACTTCTAATGTCATTGTCTGCCCATTGAAGGCAAAGATCCATGCAGAATTAATGTCTCTACGGGAGATACTTTCCATGCATTTCAGAAATAGACCTTGGAGTACAATTAAAATACAAACCTCAAAAAAAATACAAACCTCAAGAGATTAAGCATAGTAATTGACAAACTCCTTTATGAGGTGAGTTTCAGGGATTAAAAAGAGGTTTTTGTACAAGAATTCTGTGTAGCACAGTAAATTTCAGAAGAGAAGCCTTTGTTTTAGACTTCTTTAAAAATACATCAGGAATAAAACACTATGAATTCAAGTTTGAGGTAAAAATGAAGACTTTGAATTTGTAGGAAGGTCTACAAAGTAACTGGCTTTGTTAACTTGCCTTTTATTTCCACCATGTCAGCGAGAGGTAACTGTACACAACAGAAGGAACCGTAAGCCAAACCACTATCATAAATTTTATAAGGGCTTATGAGGTAGGAATATGGCTGTGTTAAGTAGCAGCACCAACAGCAGAACCAACAATCATAGGTCCCAGCCATTTTGTTCATAATTCATAAAGCTCTTAACTGCAGAGGAGGAAAGTTAATGAATCCAAAATTAAGTGGGAGATAGCAAAAGAGAAGGAGTATCCGCTGCATGATGGAATTCCAGGTAAGTCTGTGGAAGCACTGTAAGTTTTCCATTCCTCAGGAGCATGTATGTCTGAAGACATGCATATAAATATCATGTCTGCATTTTTCACACTGAGAATTTACTTTCCTTTTAAGGATATGAATATTGCAGTAGTTCTTAGGAAAAGTAGTCTAGTGACAGACAAGCAAATGTGTTTTTGTTGCATAACAGCACATCAAAAACATGAATGACTAGGGCTGGAGAGATTGCTCAGTGGTTAAGAGCACTGACTACTCTTGTAGAGGACCTGGGTTCGATTCCCAGCACCCACATGGTGGCTACGAGCTGTCCTTAACTCCAGTTCCAGGGGAATCTGAAGCTCTCTTCTGACTTCCACAGTGACACGTGTGCACTCACATACATGCAGGCAATATACATATACACATAAAATAAAAACTAATATAAAATAATTTTTAAAGAATGAATGATTATATATGAATGCTTATAGACCTGAGGCACAGTAAATTAATGTGAAGGCATAATAGGAATTGAGTCTCTTTTTGTAATGTGCTATATATTGAAACAAATTTGCTTTAAACGAGAATGACAGTTTTATTTTTGTTATGTACTCTGTATTTGTCATTTGCATTATGAAAACAATTTCTCCAAATGTAATGAAATTATTTTTTCTTTTGTTTAAATATTTGTCTTGTAATCTATGCTTCAATAATGACCTGATTACCTCGTGATATCATGTGTGTTATGAATTAGATACAGTCATGTTTTCTAACCACACGGAAATGACAGAACTATATTATCAATTAAAGTGCACAACAAGTCTTAACTCATCAATAGAGAAAAAGGGTGAGTGACAGAAGACAGAGAACCATTAAGAATTTTAGAATGAATAGGGTGTGAGCTGGGTTTTTCTAGTTTCCTTTATAACTAAAAATATTTCCAAAAATGTACTGAGTCAAGGACAATATCAAATGTGTCTATCCTGTCCAAAATTTACTTGTTACCTATTAGTAAATAAAAATGCAACTCAAAAATATAATTAAATCCATGAACTAAAATCCTCTTTTTAAAATGGGCTTTGTACTTCCTAAGATTATAATGAAATTGATTCTAGTGAATAAATTACTAGGTGTACAACTTTGGGGCAATCATAGACTTGAGAAGAAGAGGGTATACCTCAGCAGGAATTTCTTATAGTCATTTAGGGCAGGATTACTTAAAACAGTAAAACTTCTGCATAAACATGAGTTTGGGTATATCCATTACCTTCTCTCATTTCCATAAATAAAGTTCACACAGTCATACAACATTAGCTTTTGATATATACCTCTCCCAATGAAGTGGTCAATATGAATCTTATTCTTGTGTTTTTACCTTATGCCTTCATTGTTACTTTAAGTTATTTTGTTGTTTGGTTTTCAACAGATTAAGTCAAAGTCTGAGTTAGCACAAATGGCTGGGAACAATCAAACAGAAGTGACTTTCTTCACACTCACTGGATTTGCAAATCACCCAGAATTACAAGTCTGTCTGTTCTTGGTGTTTCTTTTTATCTATCTGTTCACTGTGTTGGGCAACCTTGGGTTAATCATATTGATCAGAATTGACTCTCAGCTCCACACACCTATGTACTATTTCCTTAGCAATTTAGCTTTCATTGACCTATTCTATTCCTCCACTGTAACACCCAAGGTGCTAGTCAACTTCCAGTCCACACAAAAATCCATCTCCTTTGAAGGCTGCTTTGTTCAAATGTACTTTTTTGTGGGTTTGGTGTGTAGTGAGTGTTTCCTTCTGGGCTCCATGGCCTATGATCGCTATGTAGCAATCTGCAATCCCTTGTTGTATTCCACAGTTATGTCCCAGAAAGTTTGTAACTGCCTGGGGATCCTGCCTTTTGTGATAGGCTTCACAAATTCTCTGGTATCCATCTGTGTGATAAGCAGCTTGCCTTTCTGTGATTCCAACATCAGTCATTTCTTTTGTGACACCACGGCTCTTTTAGCCCTATCCTGTGTAGATGCCTTCAGAACAGAACTAGTGATCTTTGCTCTAGCTGGGTTCACAATCGTCAGTTCACTCCTCATCATCACAGTCACCTACTTGGCCATCATCTCAGCCATCCTGAGAATCCAATCTGCAGCAGGCAGGCGGAAGGCCTTCTCCACCTGTGCCTCCCACCTCACCGGGGTCACTGTCTTCTATGGTTCCCTCATTTTCACCTATTTGCAGCCTGACAACACCTCATCCCTCACCCAGGCACAGGTAGCCTCTGTGTTCTACACGATTGTCATCCCCATGCTGAACCCACTGATCTACAGTCTGAGGAACAAGGATGTGAAAAATGCTCTTTTGAAAGTCATACATAGAAAACTCTTTCTATGATGAACTTTGCATATCACGATTTAAAAATTCTTGAACGGTTTCAAAGACTCAATTACTTCAATATTTAGGAAAATAGTATTGTAACACAAACTGAGGGCTTAACTCTCGAAGTTTGAGGCGTGAAATATTGTTATTCCTGTGGCCCGCTAATTTCAACACAATGTCATTTTATTATAAAAATTTCACAGAATAGAAATATGTAAGAAAGTTAAAAGATATCTAGCATACTTAACTAAACATGCCATCACATTTAAGCATGCAAACATATTCTTAATTTGACTCATACTATAGTTTTTCTATTGTTTCACCTATTCAAAGTGGAAAAAATTAATTAGGTTAGTTCCTCAGTTATTTTAGCAAATAAAGAGTAAAAAAACAAACCACTTGAATTTTGTTAACAACTCTATATGACAGCTGATCATATGAGAGTAACAAACACAGGTTCAAACAAAAGAATGAAATCATTTCAGTGCAAACAAAGACTAAGAGGGAAAGCACAATTAAGATAGCACAGAAATCTTCCGAAAATGTGGAATCCTTTAAACACTGCAATTATGCTCTTCATCATTTCTCTGACTCATGTTTGATGTTCTCAGATTTAAAATGATTTGACTCACAATTTTATACTATACAATTATACATACATAATAACCAGTCATTAGAAACCATAATTCAAAATTCGAATTTTCTGTTTTTCCCTATTTTAGCAATACACAATGATACTCTCTTGTGATGCTCGGCACAGGCAGGGAACACAGCTTTTATTCTGCGGAGAGTTCAGGACAAACATCTGATACTGTACAGGGCTTTGAATTGTTAATATTTATAGATACAGAGAGTTATCTATCATATTACACTAAATATTCCTAACTTTATTATTCAATATGATTTCTGCTCTAGTTTGTTTTTTTTCTGTTCTCATCATTCTTGAATAGATTATGCTATGTGCTGTATTTACTTACTTCTGGGGTTTAAGTGCACATTTACTTATAGCATTTTCAATTCATAATTTGTTTTTATAATGTCATTTCATTTTAAACTGAGGGACACCACAGGAAAATGATAGTAATATTACATAGGAAAACGATCTGTTTATAAGGAGGAATGTTCTCTGTCCTAAAAAGAATAGAACTTAATTTCATTTTCTTTAACCTGTAGCCCCAGGTTGCCTGGCACTATGTAAACCAGGTTGGCTTCTATCTCACAGAAGTCAGCTTCTCTCTTCCTCCTGAGTGTCAGGATTAAAAGTTTGTGCCACCATAACCAGTCAGAACTTAATTTCTATGTAATGAATACTTAAAAAATATGGATGTGTGTATACATGTGCATGTATGTATGCTTGTCACTGTATATGTAAAAGTGAATTATTGCCTCTGTTACGTGCTTCTGAGTAATTTGAAGAACTATACTGTCATACTTTCAAATCAAATCTAAAGCCTTCATTAGGATTACAAGACTAAACAGAGCAATTTGATGTCTATGTTAGAATGTCTTTCTTGAAAGGGATGTTAATGTTTATCAAAATCTTTGTGTCATTATTAGAATGCAAACAACGGAAACCAAAACATATTCCAATTATTGGTATTTCTATGGAATACCCACTGAAAGAAATATGATACTTCCTGCAGACATGGCTCAGCAGTTAAGAGTCCCTGCTGCTCTTCAGAAGACTTGAGTTGAAGTTCCAGCATCCACATTGGGCAGCTGTGGTTGTATGAATGAAAATGTCTCCCATAGACTCCAAGTATTTGGACATTTTGTCCCCAGATGATGGCGCTGTTTGGGGAGGTTTCAGAAGGTGTGGCTATCCTGGAGGAAGCGTGTCACTGGGGTCGGGCATGGAGAGGTCTTAAGCCTTGCCGGATCTCAGTTGCTCTCTTGCTTCCTGTGCCTGCTTGATGATGTGAGAGCTTAGCTTCTGCTGCTCCTGCTCCATCCACCTCCAGACACCATGCCTCCCTGCCATGATGGACTGTAATTCCCCTGGAACCATAAGCTCAAATAAACTCTTCCTTCTATAAATTGTTTTTGTCAGTGTTTCTATCACAGCAACAGAAAGTGACTAATACAGCAGCTCACAGCAGCCAGTAACCCCAGTTACAGGGGATCGGATGCTTTCTTCTATCCTCCATAGGCACCTGCACACATATACACATACATCAACACATACACACACACACACACACACACACACACACAACACAACACAGAGCACACCACACCAAAAACAATGCTTAAAAAAAGCCAGTAGTTTAAAAAAGTGAATTTGGCTGCTATATTTAAAATGTATGTTAAAAAGAACTAAAGACAAATTTGATGGACTATTTTTGTTAGTGTATTGGTTGATTTGCATAAGTTTCATTACACACAAAAAAATCACGTAACTCATGGTCTCCTATCTGAGCCCAGCAAGAGCAAGGATTACAGGGATGTGCTATCACACTAAGCTGAAAAGACATTTACAAAGGACATGGGAATGCATGTATTATTTCTGACAACTTTGTAAGCTGTTCTGGTCTTCTGTAACTAAATACTTTCTTATTTTATATTTACTGTTGGGAGTACCATCATCAGTTCTTTGGATGCATATATGTGCATGTGATATGCATGTGGGCGCATTCACATGTGTATGCATGTTTGAATGTGTAGAAATACACATGTGAAATCAAAAGCTTATCATCTGATATTCCTTAGTTACTCTCCACTTAACTTTCTGAGGTAGGGTTCCTTGGTAACCCTGAGATGGTCTGTTCAGTTAGTTTTGCCTGCCAGCTTACTCCAGGGATCCCCTCCTCTCTACCTGTCAAGCACTGGTGCCAACATGCCCATCTCACTTTCACATGGGTCTAAGGATCCAAGCACTGGTCTTGACACTTGCATGGCAAATGCTTCATCTTCTGAGATGTCTCTGCAGTAAGAAGTGTACATCTTACCACCCTCATTTAACAACATCACTCTTGAGCATTTCAGTTGTTATAATCAGAAGTGCTTGAAATGTACTGAGGTCCAATTAACAAATTATGGAACTTTTTAGTTTACATTGTTTTTTTCTCCATTCTGATCATAGTGTCTAAGATGAATTGTCCATGCAGAATTTTTAATCATAATTATTGGGAACCATTCAATGGATTATAATTCACCCTTTCTTACTATGCTAAGACTTTGTGTTCATGAATTCTGTATCGATGCCTTGATTATTTCTAAGTATTTTAAATAGATTTTAAGGTCTTATATTATTCTGATCTAATTGTATAAATTTATTCTTTTAATTGTATTGAGCATATATTATTACACAAAAATTTCAAACATTAACACTTATTTAGTTGATGTTAATTATGTTTGTGCATAACTGCTGTTTTCTGTGATTAGTATCTCATTGCCAGCCTGCACCTGGATACTTAAGCTACTGAATGTTTCTTTGCATTACTAAAAATAGCACCATGTTTTATGCATTCAAAATTATGCCATATATGGCTTTTGCCTTATTTATTTGCCCTGAGCACAGTTCTTCCACTTTGCTTTCTCCTCGCTTTTTCTGGATGTTCCCCAGATCTTGTAATGCTGACACGTCTGAAGCACATCTATTCCTAAACTTCAGTCATTCCATTTACCTCCCTACCCCAGTCCTCTTGGCTTTTCCCATTCCAGATTAAGTGCACAATCTTTGCACTATGTCCTCAGTTAGATGTCTTCTACTCATTCAAAAATGGGAAAAAGACACTCAATTTAAATATGCATTGCAGCATCCTTCAAAATAAATGCATTTATTTTCCACTCACTGTATTAGGGGTGAGGTGCCTTTGTAATGTTCCAAGCAATCATATTCGTTAAGCTTGTGTTTTACCTCACCACCTTTAAGGTATTTTTTATCCAATGAAAAGGTTATTTTTTTTCATTGCTCCTGAAACTGCCAAGGAAACAAATTAGTTAGTTGAAAGAAAATACCTTTAGCACTCCCTAATATAGCCTAGATTCAGATTCATTTTTGTACTCATACATTATACATGGAGCTCATGTGTAAATGCTTTCCAGGTCAGGCACCTTGGAGGCAGAAGCAGGTTGATCAGGTGTTAAAAAGCAGCATGACTTCTAAACTTCACAGCAATACCTGCCTCAAAACAAACAAAATGAATTAGAGTCTCAAAAAGACCCCCAAATTAATTACAGATCATTATTTGTTAATTACATCAGTTTTTCTAAAGATATTTGTCTCATGAAATATGGGAGAATGTGGGACTGACAAAATGACTCAGTGGTTAAGAACACTAGTTTTTCTCGCAGAGGACCTGGGTTCTGATCCCAGCACCCACATGAGGACTAACAACCAACAGTAACTCCAGTTCCAGGAGATCCACTGTTCTCTTCTTGCCTTCACAGGCATTGCATACATAGATTCACTTACATACATGCAGGCAATACACTTATAGACGTAAAATTAAAATAGTGTTTTTAAACGGGAGAATAAGAAGACTAGTAAAGGGGCTGGAGAGATGGCTCAGTGGTTAAGAGCACTGACTGCTCTTGCAGAGGACCCGGGTTCAATTCCTAGCACCCACATGGTAGCTATGAACCATCCTTGACTCCAGTTCCAGGGGAATCCAAAGCCCTCTTCTGACCTCTGTGGCATTGCACAACACAGGTGCACTCACATACATTCAGGCAATGCACTCATACACACAAAATAAAAATAATAAATATTTAAAATTTTTTATAAAAAGAGATGAGTAAAAAATTAAAATAATTAAGGAAACAGCACTAAAAAGAAGGAAGACACATGGGCTGGGTAATTTGTTCCATGGTGGAAGGACTTCCTTAGCTTTCTCTAAGCCCAAAGTTTGATAATGTACAGCAAAATAGAAAAAAAGAGAGAGGAAAGGGGAGAAAGAGACAGAGAGACACAGGCAGAAAGTTCATTTCAACAAATCACTAAAAATTATAGAATTCTTAATATTATGAAATATAGCAAAACAGTGATGACATGCTTCTCAATAAGGTTTATG